GACGTGAATTCTCTAATGTAAATTTCAGGACAGTAGGATGTCAGAAAGGTACTTGTCATTATGGTAGCTATTTAGGAAACTTTGAACCTTACTTTCTGGGCACATATCTTGTTATAGAATAGTGATTTATGCCTGTAATCCTAGCACTTTGGGAGGCCTAGGTGGGAAGATTGCTTGAGGCCAGGAGTTTGAGGTTGCAGTGAGCTATAATGGTGCCACTGCACTCTAGCCCAGGCAACAGAATGAGATTCTGTCTCAAAAAGAAAGTGATCAAATGGTTTTAAAATGCACCAAATCTTACCAAAAAAAAAAAATTTCCATGAACTAATATGGAGTAAATAATTCCTAAAGCATAGTTGGCCAAAGTGTGGATGGTTTCTCAAAAATACAAAATCTTAATTTTGGTAAGCTCACTTTTTAAATAGGGAAAAGTCATTGAGGAGAGTTTTAGTGGTTAAATATCCCTTTGTGATAAGCTGATTCAGATGAACTGGCTTCTGCCAAATTTTTATTGCAGCGTGGGCTCTACATATTTTGAAGTCACTAAATTTCTCGTTACAGCACAGGAAAAAGAAGATAAAGTAGGAAAGGGATCAATTTCATATTGAGTCCTAAGCAGCAACATGTTTGAGATGTAATCATAAAAACCAAACATTCCACCCAGGACATGGAGAAAACACTGGATCACCAGAAAGCAGAGAGTAAAAGCTGCAAGCAGGAACAGTAAGAAGATGCCAAACTTGGGACAAAGTCTTATTTACACATACCATGCTAGTAAGCTCACTCCTTTAGGCAGAAAACAAAAACAAAAACAAAAAAAACGAACCTCTTTGTCCACACTGAGGTAATATATGTACTTTTGAGAATAACAAAGTCACCATGGAGATAAATTTATTTCAAAAAAATTTTTTTTTCATTTTCAGATGTATTTGACTATTTCACTGACAAACTAAAGAGTAGCATTTGTTTTAATTTTTTGTAACTTCTTTTTTTTTGCAGCCCAATCTCTTGTAATGTTAACTTGTTTCAGAGTAAAGTACCAAAAGTCAATGGAAGGGCATGGTACTAAGTTCCTCATAGGTCAACCTTCACCATTTTGGAATTTGTGGATTTATAAGAAAGTTTTTATTTTGTTATTTATTAGTAAGACAATAATTTATAGTTTTTTCTGAAGTTTAATGAATGGAATAAAATTTGGTATTGTCCCCATTCAAGCATTATGTAGACCTTGCTGCTTGTATTCATTCACATAGTTTGGGCCTTGCTCCTTGCAAAAATACTTATTTTTAAACGTAGCACCCACATTCATGTTCTAGAATGCTGACAACCTGAGCACCCTCTTCATTTGTTCTTTAGCCTGCCTCTCTTGATATGTAAACTAATATATGAGAGTATCTGCTAATAAATGCAGTTCCAACAACAGAGAGAATCCTTTGGATCTAAACATTGAAATGCAATGTAGTCCTCTTCTTGGCCTTGAGAATAATTCACTAGCCAGGGTCTTGCTTAAGAAACTAGATTGAAATCCATGTCCTTGAACAATCAGAATCATTCAGATGTTGAATGTTGCCCTCTCCTAGTCAGTGGCACTTCAACACACTTCAGACGACGACACACACAGAGATACTGTGAGATTATAAGGAGAATAAAACTGCATCATACTTGACCTCAAACGCTTCGTCCCCAGCCCTCCAAAGTTACACTTCCCTTCTCTTTCTCTGAGGACTTTCAGAGGACAATTCCGAGAAGCACTGCTTTAAGTGTACGGAATACGAATTGCCCTTTGGAGTCAGTATTAGCAGGTTGTGATGATCAGTTTGGATCGGAATGAATATAAACATTCTGGGCGGGGCGCGGCGGCTCACGCCTCTAATCCTAGCACTCTTGGAGGCCGAGGCGGGTGGATCGCTCTAGATCAGGAGTTCGAGACCCCGTCTCTACTAAAAATAGAAATTAATTGGCCAACTAATATATAGAGAAAAAATTAGCCAGGCGTGGTGGCGCGTGCCTGTAGTCCCAGCTACTTGGGAGGCTGAGGCAGGAGGATGGCTTGAGCCCAGGAGATTGAGGTTGCTTGTGAGCTAGGGTGATGCCACGGCACTCACTCTAGCCTGGGCAACAAAGCGAGACTCTGTCTCAAAAATAAATAAATAAAACATCTGAAGTTGAGGCCATAAAGGATTAAGTGAAAACATAACCCTGTCATTTGCCACCATTAATAAAAGAAGTTATTTCACAAATAGACTGATACTGTTCCGTTTTTTTTTTTTTTTCAGGTCAAAAGTAGTTTTGAAACTTACTCAGCATTTTGCAGATAAGTCTACAAAATTTTCTACTTTTATTTTCACTTCATCTCAAGGGAAACAGAAACACATCAATTTGTCTGTCCTGCAAATTAGTGACTCACCAGAGAACTACTTATATTCTAGTCATCTTACTTTTGCTCCTAAGAAAGAACCATGTTATTTACAAAGATAAAGGCAGCCTATTATAAAATGGTCACATTTGACGAATGCGTGAATTTGAGCAAATTTGTTTTCTTTTTTTTTTTTTTTTTTTTTTGCAAATTTGTTTTCTTTTTTTTTTTTTTTTTTGAGACAGAGTCTCACTCTTTTGCCCGGGCTGGAGTGCCATGGCGTCAGCCTAGCTCACGGCAACCTCAAACTCCTGAGCTCAAGCGATCCTTCTGCCTCAGCCTCCCAAGTAGCTGGGAGTAATTTTTTCTCTATATATTTTTAGTTGGCCAATTAATTTCTTTCTATTTATAGTAGGGATGGGGTCTCGCTCTTGCTCAGGCTGGTTTCGAACTCCTGACCTTGAGCAATCCACTCATGGCCTCCCAGAGTGCTAGAATTACAGTCGTGAGCCACCACACACAGCCATTGGGTTGAATATATTAAGGGCTCTTTGAGCTTCACAGATTTGAATATCCATCTCTCTCCCAAGATTTGGAAAGTTTACAGCTATCATTTCATTAAATAAGCTTTCTGTGCCTTTTTCTATCTCTTTTCCTTCTGAAAATCCCATAATGCAAATATCTGTTTGCTTAATGATGTCCCTTAAGTCCTGTAGGCTTTCTTCACTTTTTCATTCTTTTTGTTTCCTCTGAATAGGTTATTCCAAAGACCTGCCTTCAAGTTCAGAAATTCTTTTTTTCTGCTTAATCTAGCCTGCTGTTGAAGCTTTCAATAGAATTTATCTCAATTATTGAATTCTTTAGCTCTGAGATTTCCATTTGGTTTTATTTTATTTATTTAACTTTTTATTTTTTCATTTTGGACAGTAACATTTGATTCTTTTTATTTTTATTTATTTATTTATTTATTTTCTTTTTTAGACTGAATGGGTCTGTGGAATGATTCTTTTTAAATAGATATCTATGTCTTTGTTCAGATCACGAATCTTTTTTTTTTTTTCTGTATTTCCTTATATGTCACTGAATTTCCTTAAAATTATTAAATTCCTTTTCAGGAAATTCATAAGTTTTCATCTCTTTGTGTTCAGTTCTTGGAAAATAATTGTTTCCTTGGTGGTGTCATATTTCCTTGCTGTTTCATGTTTCTTGTGTCCCTATGTTGATTTCTGCACATTTGGTGGAACAGTCACCTTTTTCAATTTCATAGAGTGGCTCTTACAGGGAAAGACTTTCACCTGCAGATGGGTCCTAAGGTGTCAGTTGGGTAGGGTACATTGGCTTTGGTTCTGAGTGGGCACAGCAGTATAGTCCCTGTGCAGTTTCTTTAGCGGTAATCAATGTCAGTGATGCCTGTGAGTGCCTCTGTGGCCTGGGCTATAGGGGTTTGTACAGCTGACTGAGCCACAAGGTTGGGCATGGTTCCCCTGTTGGGTGGGGCACCACGCCGGTTCACATGCTGATGGGATGCAGGGCTGGCCCACTTACCTGGTTTGGCTTCCCCAATGAGCAAGACTGCCTATTCCTTGGGAGGCCCACACCATGTGGGCTCAGGCACCAGCTTCAGAGCTATTCCACTGAGCCTAGGCTCTGAGTAGCCAAGGTTGGGGCTCTGCAGCCACTGCGACAGGGAATACAGTCTCTTCTAGGCACCTTGTTCCCAGGAGTAGGGAGCTGTAGCACCTTGGCTGGGGAATGGTGGACTACGGTGAGTATGATGTAGTGACGGCAGAGCCTCAGAGACAGAGCGATGCAGTGGCTACTGTCCCCTGGAGCAGTGTGGGTCCAGTTTGAAAATGGTGTCCTGCTGCAGCAGCTTGCGTCACAGTGTGGGCTCCTTTTCTGGAGGAATGCAGCCATGTGAATCCCGGGCAGCTTGCTAAACTGGGCTCGTGGCCTGTGAGGACTGCAGAATTCTCCAACAGCAACGACTGCAGGTGTCTATGCTGTTAATGGGAACTTCTGAGGTTGGGGGCTCCTGCTTTCCTTGTCCCCACAGGGAGAAGTCCCGCTTGGTGTTGAGCTGATTCCGACTGGGGACATGGGGTGGCACAGGCAGGGTGTCTCATTCCCTTCTCCATGCAGCCATCCTCAGTCTCCATGCTCCGCCATTCTCGCCCACTCCCCTGCTGTACTCCAGCAATACTCTAATCCAGGGGTCCTCAAACTTTTTACACAGTTCACTGTCCCTCAGGCCGTTGGAGAGCGCGGCGCACATTCCACACATGCGCACTGTGGGCCTGGGACGAGTCGGCTGCTAAGCAGGACAGGCAGCAGCAGCAAAAACACCTGGCGGGCCGGATAAATGTCCTTGGCCAGCTGTATGTGGCCCTCGAGCCATAGTTTGAGGACCCCTGCTCTAATCAAAGTGTATTTGTTTATTCATCCCTTTGGTCCTTTTTTTTTGTGGGGGCATCTTGCTGATGTCCTCTGGAGTGTCCTTTCTAGGAAAATCGTGAGCATATTTTAATGAACAAATGAAATAAAATCATTTCATCATGCGACTTTCAGAAGACAAGTTTGTGAAAAGGCAACAATGTAAGTCACATTATGAAAAGGTCAAAGAATTCACAAAAAAAGGGCAGAATTCTATCTTTTCTTTAATCACTGCATTTCAGTTTTTACAAATAATCAGTTCAGGTTAACTAAGGTTTTGAAGGGGAAACAGGTCTTGTACATGGAAGACTATCACATGCTCCTTTTTTCTGCAAATATATTGGATGGATTAACAAACACTGTCACAGAAACAAAAAAAATTTTTTTAAAGCCATAGATCACTGCACATATATTTACAAAAAGCCACAAACATGCATTTCTCCTTTATTTGGAAAACTTAAATAGATGTTTGAACATTAAGGCAGTGACAGTTCTAAAACATAATGAAATTCTAAGTTAAGGCTTTATGTTTGTTTTGAAACCCATGTTCATAGGCAACTGTGACCAAAGCAAACTTTTATCTACTAGGTTGAATTCATCTGCCTAGGATATGTTATTTATCCATTACCAACACTTCTTTTGTATCAGATGTATGGGATAGGAATTAATAGCAAAATCATCAATTTGCTTTAATGAATCATTAGTCCCCTTCTTCAGTTTTATTTTGAGGAGTTAGCCGTCAGCAGCACACATGTGCTTTTTTTTTTTTTTGTAAACTTAGAGAACTTACAGGCTGCACTGATGCTTACCTGCCTGAAAGTTGGCCAACAATTAAAAATTCAGGATTTCCCAAATACAGAAAACCCCCAAAGCATACTTGATCGTGCTCCCATCTGAAAACACAGTAAATGTTCTTATTGAAACAATAGGTTCACCTTTGTTTTCTTTGATGAAGACTGTGGTATTAGTCTCTTTTAAAAAATAAAGAAACAAAACGCAGAATACCATATTTTAGACGGATCTATTCTATAATTGCTAGCCTCAAGGCACAAACAGTATCCTTGCTAGACCAATGTCTTTTCTTATTCAAGGAAAAGATAACAAGTGGCAGATGGAAGAAAAATTCACTTTAAAATTGTATATTACACCCTTGCCCTATCAAGCTTAGTAGAAGTGCAAAGTGTGGGACGAACTAATAGGCAACCCTGTGTTTCCACGGTTTGGATGACTTAGTCTTATTTAGCAGGGTCATTATTTACACTAGGCTTGCTGCTTTCTTGAGGCAGTAATTTTACAGCAACAAACCTCTTATGAGGAAAGTACCACACACTAACATTTGTGTCAATAAAAGCTCATGTAGAGAAGGGATAGCACTGGCTACATGAAAACTACCTAAAAAGCTAAAGACAGCTGTAGCTTTCCTTGGTGTTTTCAAATCAGAAAAAGAGATGTCAAAGTAGAAGCAGCTGCAGGCAGCAAGAGTGTAAAACCACAGAAGCACTGTTGTTTAAATCTGATGGTGGCAGCATCAGATTTTTTAGATATTACTATCAAGAAACAGGAATTTCTAACAAGCACTGTCAATAATATTTTATACGCAATTTAAGTTAAGTACGTTACACGCGACTAAAATGTTTTGAAGATTCGAGAAGTTTATACTCTAGTACCTGGTAAGCTTGGCTTCAGCTAAATGGCTATATAGGTTTTATAGGTGTGAAATACATTTTTTTTTCAAAGATGGAAAGACTAGCTGTAAAAGGGCAAATGTAGGCAACACAAAAACAATTATTTTTAGATCAACATCTTACACTTTATAATACACTCACATTTATACACACATTTCATGTTTACAAGTACAAAAGGCAAGAACTGCAAAGAATCGAATCAACTGCATCATCGACTACATTCAACAGAATTAATACTGCTGTCCCTGTTCCCCATTTTCCAAATCCAGAAAGAAATGGTAAACGCCATCCCATACACGGACTCCAGTTTTAGAAGTTGGAGACTCTGTGCAGTTCAGCACACGTCTGGGTCTCTACAGAGCTGAACTGAGACTCCATCGTGTTCCAGGCCAAATCAGCCAGGAGAAAGTCATCCATTGCTGTCTGAGTTTCATTGCTGGTGAAGAACAAGCTCCCCAGGGTTTCAAAACCAGAACTCATGGTCTGTGTTTCTGCGCTGTTCAACTGAACTTTGCTTTCTAGAGCAAGTATGTTTTTAGCAGTGCAAATTCCTTCAGTTTGGGTCTCTGTGTCAGACGAATCAGTACTCATGGAAAAGCTGGAGTGTTTCAGAATATTTCCCAGAGGCAGATGAGGGCTACTGTCTAAAAAGAAGTTTAAGTCTGTCTGTGTCTGCGTGTCAAACATCTCAAGGCCTAAGAAGTTAGAACTTCCCCTGCACCCATAGGACGGAGCAGAGGTATCAGCGAGTAAGAAGTCAGTTTGCGTCTCTATGTCCAGTGATTCCAAGACTGGTTCGGTGTTGATGGTGCTAAGTTCACTCTCTTCAGTTTGAGTCTGGATATTTGAAGCTGAAAAGAACTCTTCAATATCAAAATCTATTCCGGGGTTCTGGGTTGGGCCAGATGGGAGCTGGGTGTCAGGTCCAGGATTCGTGTCAGACAAAAGACTACGATTATCCAGCGTCTGACCAGGCAGATTATTTGACAAGATGTTTTCTAAATCACTTAATAAATCCATGGTTTGGGTCTGATTATCCGTCATGTTCTGTGAAGGAAGCATACCATTCTGTGCGCTGAAGTTTATAATCGGTGCAGATTTCTCAATATCTTGATTTAAAGTCTTAGGGTCGTTCTGAGGCAACAAACCATGAGTTACTGTCTCTGCTACTAAACTGCTGCTTATGATATTGTCAGTAGCAACACTGTACGATGAATGAACACTCTCAAAAATGTCTCCGCACATCCCAGCTTGGTCCATCTGCATGGGGTCATCGGTCGGACTCCGCATCCCGTTGGTTTGAGTCTCTCTGGAGATCCCACCTGACTGGAAACAAACGTCTGTAAACGCATCAGTCTGAGCAGCAATAGACGAAGTTACCTTAGAGCTCGGCAAAAACGTCTGAGTGTGAACGCTTATGGGAAGGGACACTTGAGAATCAAATGACAAGTCAGTCTGGGAACAAGACGACACAGAGGAATCAGGGCTAGCCCACTGTGTAGAAGGTATAAGGTTTTCTGAGGCATAAGACAGATCTGTCTGTACATTGGTTGAAGAAATGCTGTTCTTCTGACATGTGTTCCCAAGTTCTTGTAAAGGAGTGGATGGACTTTTACCCAAGTTCACTTGAACACTTGTACTAACTGGCTCAATCTTGTAAAGAGGTAGGCTCTCCTTAAGGGAGTAAGTCTCTGAATCTAGGCCGAGGATCAAGGTTCCTATCGACAAGGGCAGCAAGTGGACAGCCCCCGTGGCAGAGCCCTGATCCACACCTAACACCACAGGCTGGGCCGAGGAGTCGGCTGTAGGCACAAAGACAGGCATGGGAGAAAACTGCATCACCGGTAGTTTAATCAAAGCCACGTTGGGCTTTGGTAAAAGCAACTTCTGAGGATATTTCGGAGGCGTGGTAAGTGTCTGCTCTCTGGCATTAGAGCCGCAGGAATCCTCGAAAGGTGCTTCTAGCTTTATTTCTAAAGCTTCTAGTTCTTGAGTGTCTGGTCTAGAGATTGGTTGGCTGCCCAATGATTCAACGGTCTTATTGGACAACTTCTGGTTTTGCAGGCAGTTTTCCATTTTCCTTTTCTTACTAGGCGGATCCCTGAAAACAATGACAGAACAAATAGAAAAACAATCTTAAAAATGCAGCTTTCTTCGACCGTGACACTATCTTCGCTTACTCACAAATGTCATTTCCCACATCTACAACAGTGGTCACATTCGACCCAGGGAAGATAAATTCCTTCTTTTGCAGCTCTGGGAATTAGGCTTATTATGGTAGGTGGTTGTTCAGAAACATGCAAACAGGGACAGGGGAGGAGGAAATATACCTTTTGTTGTTGTTGTTGTTAAACTCTGAGTACTAGAACTTAGATTTTTAAGCAAAAGCAAGCTAAAAGATTTACATAATGCAAGTTTTGTTGTTTCTAAAGCAGGAAGCTATTATACTAAATATAACTTTGATCTTTACAGCTTCATGATAAAACTTACTCTTCAGCAATCTGGTATCGCTCTGATAGAAAATGCTGGAGGTGGAGACTTCAAAATGGGAATAAGAGACCCTGAAAAAGGGTTGGCAGAACAAAAAGGAAGAACTGGGTAAAGATTTCAGGCCCAGACTTGGGTCCTCTGCTAGTACCGCTGCCATTTCCAGCAGCTCCCTGCTTCTGTGACCCATATTTTCTCCACGAGTCTTGTTTTCTCCCAGCACTACTGGCTTTCCAGGATGTCTCATCTGAAACTCTTCCCATAGCTACTGACTTCTGTGCTGTCAGTTCTTCCCCTTCACCTGTGTTCTGCAGGGATCTCGTGGCCAGTTCGGTAGATGTGGGACTGCAGTGCGGTTCTGCTAGCGTAGGGACAGCCACACGTGCACTGGAAGGTCTTGCCGCAGTCCTCCGCGTGCCTCTTCAAGTCCCACTCCGTGCCATACGAATTGCTGCACTTACTGCATTTATGCTTCTTCTCGGCGTGCATTTTCATAAAGTGCTAGGAAGAAGACAGAAGGCACCGAGATGAGAAACAGCAACTGCTCAACACATTTCAAAACCATCCACCTACCCAAATTAACAGTGATTTCACAGGTATCAAATACAGCAGTCCAAGTCAAGAGAATTTAAAAGCAGACAAATTGCAATTTATCGTGTGTCTCTTCTCCTTGTCACTTTTGCTGTGTGAAAACTGAGCAGGCTTTAGGAAACAGTGCACAGTGCCCAGCGTTTAGACTTTGATCTGCAAAAAAGTGCTGCAGGCAGAAAAAAAAAATGTCTTTGCAATGCTCTTGTCAGGATAGCACCAGCAGACCTTCAGGGAAACATTTTAGATGCCTCTTTCCTGTCACTAGGCCCCTCCCTCCTCTTAAGATAGCTCCAACACTCTTCTTTTCCTGCATTCTGAGGTTCTTATCCCCTGGGAGAACAGTTCTTAGTGCCTTTATGCTCTGCCCTTGGAGGTGACTTACCCAAGAGACCTGCATGCTCCCACTTTCTCATTCTTTGCTGAACTGGTCCACTTTCCTTTCTCTCTGAACCCACCTGCGACATGTTCCCTCTAGAACAAGCCACGAGTCTCTCCACTTGCATCACACCACACTCACGTTCTCACCAGCTGGACATCTGCTCTCACAAACAGTTTTCTACTCAATTCTGTAACTATGTCCACTAATTGGCATGCACACTAGGTTTCTATCATCTGCATCTCAACCTCACAGAAGGACACTTAAGAGAAGTAAAATACCTGTTTTACGAGAGAAAACTGAGAAAACGGTCTGTCGGGGCCTCTAGGGCATCCTTCGATTGGACAACAGTAGAATTTCGGTACGGTTTTCAAATCTTTTCTTATTGTTGGATTTACTATGCCGTCCTGCAAAAGGAAAATTTCTTTAAATAATTCTTTTCAAAAAACCAATATAACAGGTTGGGGTGTTAACAAGGGAATGACCAAAATGGGTACATTTTATGAAATTCTTTTAATTCGTCTATAGTTTTTCCATCTAGCATTATCAGTGACAGAAAGAATATCAGTGTGTTTGCGTAGATTAAATGAAATGTGGGGAGAATACTTAGACTCTGAAATCCTTCATTCATTTGACTATCATCAAATTCCTTTTAGCCAATGTATCCCCCTTATCTGCTCCTAGGCTGTCAAATGCTCCAAAAAACTGCTGACTGGATCCCTAGGAAATTCACGCTCATTTCCGACTCATCCTCAGTGGTGCTAGTGATCTTTTTATCATCCCTTGCAGACTCCCTTGCAGGCCCCAGAGCACAGGCTTGAGTCCCTCTGACGCCGTTTACCATCTCCCAGCCTTTCCTTTCCACTGCTCCTCCGGTCCCTGTTTAGACTGTCATTAACCTCTTAACTAATTTCTACCTTCAATCTCTTTTTCACTCAAACTTCATCAGGTTCATCTGCTATCGTGTCATTACCACACTCAAGCATTTTCTTTTTCTTTAATTTTTAAATTTTCTTTGTAGAGACAGGATCTCACTATGTTGCCCAGCTGAACCTGAACTCCAGACCTCCAGTGATCCTCCCACCCCGGCCTCTCATAGTGCTGGGATTCCATTACCCCTAATGGAACTCCTTATAATTCCCCAAACCTTTTCATGGGCAGGGATTTATTTGTATCTTACTGTTGCATCTGGGAGTATTTTGAACAGAGAAAATGTTCAGTGAAACTTGTGGCATTACACTGAATATATTCATGTGGCCCAAGCTAAAACGTTATCACGCCTGGGAGGTTAATAACACCCTGTTGCCATTGTTAGAGGCCATAGCAAGGACCTGACACCGTCCATGCTCCTGCTTCCTGAGGGCCAGGTCCTCAACCTCCCCAGCAGAGCAGTCTACCCAGTTTGGGGGCCTTATTGCCATTTCTGTCCTGAGACAATAAGAGGGCAGGATGGCGGAGTAAGAAATAGCAACGGCACAATAAAATAGGAACTGCAGTGAGAAAGTGGTATCTTTGTTCTGAAGTTCTCTATACATTGAGAATAAACCTTACCGGACTTTTGGTACTGTATCTTTTGTGTGCATGATTTAAGAACCTATGAGAGGAAACAATCCCAAAACAAGATGGAAAAAAGTACACAAAAGAAGAAAAAGGAAAAGGAAGGACACAACTGAAGAGTAGAGGGTAAAAGGAAAGGTTTGTAAGAGCTGTAGCAAAATCGAAAACAGCATGTAGCTACTGTAGCAAGCTGACTGCCTTCACAGAAAGCATCCAAGAAGGAAACCAGTTTGCTTTGTCATCTCATTCTGAATTTAAAATTAGAAGTCTCTGCACAGTATGGTCTACAGAACAACTTGGAACCTTTCCTTTCCTTTTTAAAAAAATGTTCTGCAAATCCTTAAAAGCAAGCCCCTGGACTGAACATAATACAAAATCCTCCAAGCCATGTTTTGAAAATATAAATGATGCTTGATAAGAGGTTCTTTAAGTGCCCCTTGTCCCTTCCACTGCTTTCAAACATGAGGAACAAAAGAATCTCTAACAATCAAAAAATGCGTATGTACGCCTCCTCTCCCTTTCCCTGAATCATTATAGCTTTCATGTCTCCATGAATCCCACTGTAGGCAAGCCTGGGCTATTTCTGGATTTCCTTATGGGACATGCAATATGCACATACATCTTAAGAACCCACATAAAACCAAAGGGCAGCACACACTCTACAGCTTCCAGCTCAATTTCCATTCCCACCCATCATCCTTCAGAAGGGTTTGTTCATCATTTATGCTAAGAAGGGAATAGTTGGCTGGGGTGGGGAGTTTTGTGAAGAAAGAGTAAATAAAATAAGAAGCACACAGCAACTGCAGAAGGGAACAAATTATCATAATTTAGAAAATATATAAACAATGAAAGAAATTAGAATTATGCAAGTAAGCTATAACCAAGACTATAAAAATTTCCACCGAATGTAAGAAAATCTGCCAATGAGATATACTCAGAGTAGCTTCAGGGCAAAACCCAAGCAAGCTTCCCAGCCAGTCCTCACCCCCATGCCTTTCTCTTCCCCACTCTCCTTCCAGTAGTCTGAGAAGTGTAAAGGATGATTCTTGAACTGAAGAGCCTCCTAGGCAGTAACCAGACTGAGGGTACAGATCCACTGCACTGGGGCACTACCATACGGATATGACTATATTGTCACACAGACCCCCTTCATTAAAGAAAATGAACTTCCTTTCCACCAAGACAGCAGATGCCTGAGACTTCTGGGCACCTGGGTTAGAAAGGCAGGACGAGATAGTCATGGAGCTGGGTGAGCTTTAATTCCTGCTAAAAAGGCTGCCCCAGTGACCTACGAAGGAAACTTAGAAGAGTCCATCTTTCTGTTCGTCAACGTTTTCAGTTCAGAAAGAAATTGTGAGTGTACTATGCTGTCTTCAGGCAAAAGAATCTGAAACATGAACCTGACCAGAACTGAAATAATGATGTCAAACAGGTTCTGAGCAAGGGAGGACGGTGATACCCTGAAACGTAAAGTCCAAGTAAAGATTTGACTGTCAAAATTTGTATTTGTCCAACATATTCTTCCTCCTTACGCCTCTTACATTTTATGTATAGGTTATCTTGTGAATTCCTGGACTTTAGATATTTTAAAAACATAATTAGAAATAAACCTATTGTACACTAACCAGTCCTGAAGAGTAAGTGGTACCTTTATGCTTAAAAGATGTTTATCAAAGTCTTGAGAGAGATAAGGCTCCTAGCAGCAATTCCAGAGAAACAAATGATATAAACTGTTTTTATTTTTATTTTTTATGCGACAGAGTCTCACTTTGTTGTCCAGGCTAGAGTGAGTGCCATGGCGTCAGCCTAGCTCACAGCAACCTCAAACTCCTGGGCTCAAGCAATCCTGCTGCCTCAGCCTCCCGAGTAGCTGAGACTACAGGCATGTGCCACCATGCATGCCTCATTTTCTCTATATATTTTTAGTTGGCCAATTAATTTCTTTTTATTTATAGTAGAGACAGGTCTCGCTCTTGCTCAGGCTGTTTTCGAACTCCTGACCTTGAGCGATCCACCCGCCTTGGCCTCCCAGAGTGCTAGGATTATAGGTGTGAGCCACCGTGACTGGCCTAACCTGTTAAATTCTTGTTAGAGTGATGTTCAGCCAACACCAAGGAGGGTCCTGGACAGCCTGGCAGCTTCATCTGTGCTCAGAGATGTAGCATCTGCCATAGCCATCAAGGAGGGGACAATATGGGCGATGGGTGCTGTATACCAGCTACAGAGAACCAATGGCTTCGGCTGTAGCAACCCCGCAAATATACAGTTCATGCACGCATGATAGGATGTGGTCAAGGAAGGATTTAGTTAAAATTTACTATGAAAGAGAAAACAACAGATTGAAGACCATTTCCAGAGCTGCACTTGTGTGTTAAAAGAAACCCAGAACCCTTCTAAGGAACAACTCGGCCCCACCTGCAGGGTCTTCCTTGGCACACCTCCAAATGAAATTCCTGACTTGGACTCCCTGAAAAGTTATTGCATTTCAACTCAGCTGGTGGTAAAAGCCGATCATACCTTCATTGGCAACACTTTTATCTGTCCTACTAGAGACTATAACCTCAAAGTTCTGCTGTTAAATTCTTATCAGAAGCCTGATTCCCAGGAACTTTTCAAGGAGGGTTTACCTACCTGATGGGCAGACAGAACATGAAATACTCTGGGTCATCTAAATTTACTTCTGAATCAAATCAGACCATCAAAACCTACACATTCACAAAATTGCTTTTGGTGACCTATGCTTTTGAATTATGTCTCTGCTGGCAGAGTAGGGTAAGAGTAGTGGAAGGAAACTTCCTATTGTAATGATTGAGAAATTATGACTTAATAGGTCTGGGGGGTGGGGGCAGACATTTGGAATTTTAATAAGCTTCTCACAGATGTGCACCAAAGGTTGAAAATCACTGCCCCATTTAACATGACGATGTGGAGGTGTCGTTCAGATTATTGTCATGCTATACTGTGTCCCTTCTTAAAGAAGAGCCATGAGAGAAAGTTCCCTTAGGTCTCATTCCTGAGCAAAGCCGATCTTAACACTGTGAAACTGTGACAGATGGTGCTTAGAGCCAAACCTGCAACAACTTTTAACACAGTTTTATTTTTGAGTGACACATAATTATTCATATTTATGGGGTTCCAAGTGTGATGTTTTGACACATATATACATATACATTGTGTAGTGATCAAATCAGGGTATGTAGCATGTCCATAACCTCAAACATTTTTCCTGTTCGTGTGGGGAGAACGTTCAAAACCCTCTCTTCCAGTTATTTTGAAATGTACAACACGACGCACAGGGCAGGACCTCAGGGCGGCGTGGGTGTGGTGGAAGGAACAGAGGCCTCACTCAGAAGCAGAGGCCCGGGTTTAAATCCCCACAGCACATAGGTTGCACAATCTGTCTCTCATCAGTGTAATGGGGTAACGTATGTCCCTCTCCAAGTTGCCCTGAGAACTAACGAGACAGAACGTGTAAAATGCCCGGTCCGGAGCCAGGCACGAAATGCAAGGCCAGGGAGGGCTGGCTCGAGGGAGGCTGACACCGGGTGCGTGACACCGTGCTCCCCCACCGACAGGTCTTCGCGCGCACTAGCTCTCCCTCTCCCCGGCCGGGATGCCGGGCTCGTCGGCCCGGTGCGTGCGTTCGGAAGCCGCCCACGAGCGGGAGCGGGCGGCGGCGGGCAGGCAGGTGCGGCGGCCGGCCCTCCATCCCCCCGGGGCCGGGCTCGCACGCCGCGCCGGGCGCTTTGTTGGAGCCAGGCCCGGCCGCCGCCGCGTCGGGCTCACCTGCAGGCGGTGGCTCTTGACCAGGTGCATGTTGAGCGCGGGGCTGTTGGGCAGGATCTTGCCGCAGCCGCGCACGGTGCACAGGATGTTGGTGCGCACGGGCCGCGACAGCTCGCTCACCGACGGCTGGATCAGCTCCCGGGCCGGCGGCGCCGGGGCCGCGGGCCGCCGCATCGCCGCCGCCGGGCGCGGCCGGCTGCCCTCAGCCGGGCTCCCGGGGCCCCAGGCCCGAGGAGGCGGCGGCGGCGGCCCCTCGCGCCGCCGGGACGGCGGGGGACCGCCGCCACAGCCGCGGGACCCGCCGCTGCCGCCTCCGAGGCCGCCATGGCTCCGCACGGCCGCCGGCCCCGCTTCCGCCGCAGCCACTTCCGGCAGGGGGCGGGGCCGCCCGGCTCATTAGCATCCGGCGGGCCCGGGCGCCGCCTGCCGGCCGCCGAGGGCACGTCTCCAAGGGAGCCGGCGCCAGGTGAGGGCGCGGGAGGCCAGCCTTGACCTGCCGCCCGTAGGTAGGTAAGAGGTAGCGCCTGCCGCCCCCACGATTGGTCCATTCTTCGCCTTCCTAAGAACTTGGCCGTGGGCAACAGTTGGAGAAAGGAAAGCCAAAGCGTTCAGCAGTGCTTTACTTCCCAAGAGTAGGACAACCCAAATGTTGAAGGGCAGGGGAGGCAATAGCACACTCATCTCCACCTTCGTTTACCGAGGGCTTACCGTGTGCCCGGGTCTGGGGGACGCACTTTGCATTCAGGGCCTCATTTTGTTTCCAAAAAACGACTGTAGAGGGGTATGGCTGTGAATTTCCCCTCGTTGTGCAGAGAAGGAAATTTAGGCTTACAGGAATTAACTACGTTGCTCTAGGTCACACTATACAAACAAAGGGTTGTTACAGTTGACAGGGTTAATCATTTTAGGGAGGCTGGACTTTCTTGCCTGTATTTTAACTGCTGAAATTTTATTGCTATTCGGGAGACAGTGTAGCTCAGTCAGTGGTTCCAAAATTTAAATACTGAGAACTGAACTCTGACCATTTTCCTTTGGCACGAAATCCTTTCTAATAGGCCTGGTGAGTCACACCCACAAAGGATAAAAATCTTACTAAACAACCTTCCAGATAATCTTGTTAAGTGCCTAAAAAAAAAATCTTACTGAACAGGTTTTGTTAACCTGATATATTGTGGTTTACTTCCCAACGTGGATAGCATCATAGGAGAGATATAAGACCCCCTTACCTTAACTCAAGCAGCCTAGCAGGTCTCTATCTTAACTCATGAATTCCTTTCCCCTGACTCTTTGAACCAATTGTCAACTAAAGAATCCCTAAAATCCACCTATGACTTGTAAGCCCTCCCTCTCCCAACCTTCAAGATGTCCTGCCTTTTTGGGCCAAAACAATGTATGCCTTCCATGTATTAATTTATGATTTTACCTGTAATTCCTGTCCCTGCGAATGTATAAAACCAAACCGTAATCCTGCCATGTCAGGTGCATTTTCTCAAGACCACTTGAGAACTTGTTCCCTGGGCCGTGGTCACGCATTTGGCTCAGAATAAACCTCTTTAGATGATTTTAGAGTTTGGATTTTTCCATTGACAATACTTAGACTAGGTAGGTCATGTAAACGGGCATAGGCAGCCTGGGGTAGACTAAAGAAAGGGGTGAGGCCTGCAGTGAAATTGGAAATAAGTCCTTTTGAAAAAGGGGGCAGCTGCTATTCATCTTTGACATTGCTAGATTTTTATGTGAATACCTCAAACTTTTACAGATTAGCAATTGTATTAGTTTTCTCTTGCTCTTAACAAATTACCACAAACTTACTATCTTAAAACAACATAAATTTATCTTACAGCTGGGCCGGGTGCGGTGGCTCATGCCTGTAATCCTAGCACTCTGGGAGCCCGAGGCAGGCATATGGCTCAAGGTGAGGAGTTTGAAACCAGCCTGAGTAAGAGTGAGACCCCCTCTCTACTAAAAATAGAAAGAAATTAATTGGCCCACTAATATATATATATATATATAAAATTAGCCGGGCATGGTGGTGCATGCCTGTAGTCCCAGCTACTCGGGAGGCTGAGGCAGTAGGATTGCTTGAGCCCAGGAGATTGAGGTTGCTGTGAGCTAGGCTGATGCCACGGCACTCTAGCACGGGCAACAGAGTGAAAGTCTGTCTCAAAAAATTTTTTATCTCACAGCTCTGGAGGTAAGAAGTCTGAAATGAACCTACGGGGCTAAGATCAAGGTGTGGGCAGGGCTGTGTTCCCTTGGAGGCTCTAGGGGAGAATCTGTTCACCTGTCTGTTCCGGCTCCTACAGGCCGCCTGCACTCCTTGGCTTGAGGCCCCTTCCGCCATCTCCAAAATCAGCGAATAGAGTGTTCATCACACCACGTGGCTCTGATTTCTTCAGTAGTCACATCTCCCTCTGAATCTTCTATTCTTCTTTCACTCTTGAGGACCTTTGTGATTACACTTAGCCCATCCAGGTAATCCATGATAATTTCCTGAGCTGCAGTGTCCCTGTGTCTTGTAAGGTAACTACATTGTGAAATATATATTTGGGTTTCCTCCAGTTTCCTAGCATACAATTCCTAAAATCCTTGGAATCTTCAAAGTGGTATGTGTCTTTCTGTATGGTGTTAGGGCAGGAAACCGCAGCACCACAGAACAAAGAGACAGAGTCGCTGAGGCTGAAATCATCAAAAGGAGTTTTATTGACTAGCTCAAGCTAGGGTCCAAGTCTCAGAGCACCAATGCAGTGGCCTCTATTCTGACAAGGACCCCCCTCCCCCTTGGGTTATGAGCATCCCTTAAGTAGTTTTTCCCCCTCCTGCAGTCTTCTTCAGCAGTTTATTTCATCTCTTTTCTGGTTGGCGCTGGTTGGTTCCTCTTACCAGCTGATTGGTTCCGGTGTTTTAGGGCTTTTCCTCTGCATTTTATTTCAGCAGTTTACTGCAGAGTCATCCGGTGTTTGTCCCCCCTCCCCAGTCCCAGAGCTTTTCAACCTCTTATCAGGAAATGACTTGTGGTTACCTCCTTTTGAGGCCCAGCACCCACTGAAGCCTGTCATGGCTTCACTTAAGCTATATATTGTAAGCAAGCAAGCTGAGGAGACAGAAGCTAAAATAGGCTGTTAGCTTTTCTTATGATTTCTATTTTTTACAATGGTAATGAGTTAACTGATGGCTGGCTGTCCCTAGGTAGCATCAGGAATGGGCTGGTCACTGGAAAGGCCAAGTTAGGATTAGAGGGTTGGGACTTCCAGCCCCACTACCCAACCTCCAGAGAGGGAAGAGGGCCTGAAGGTTAAGTTGATCAATTGCTCCTAGGTGATGAAGCCTTTACAAGAACCCAAAAGGACTGGGTTCAGAGAGCTTCTGGATATCAGTCCCTAGAGGGTGGTGCCCCTGGAGAGGGCATGGAGGCTCCGAGCCCCTTCCCATATGCCTTGCCCTACCGTTGTTTCAGGTGTGTCCTTTGTAATACACCAGTAAGCCCAAGTGTTTCCCTGAGTTCTGTGAGCCGCTCTAGCAAATTAATTGAACCCAAGGAGGGGGGGGTGTTAGAACTCCAATTTATATCAGATGGGTCAGAAGCCAGGTAAAACAAGCTGGGGCTTGCAGTTGGCATCGGAAGTGGTTGGCAGTCTGTGGGACTGTGCCCTCAACCTGTGGGATCTGACGTTGTCTCCAGGTAGTCAGCGTTGGAATTGAATTGCAGGACACCCAGCTGCTGTCCACTGCAGAAATGATAGCTTGTGTTAACCAAGAACAGGTGAAAAGACCACACTGCAAAGCAGGAAGACAGGCATTTCTTAGAGTCTTAGGAATTGCAATTTGAAAGACACAGATTCAACTACAGGAACAATTTAAAAGAACACAGATTCAACAATCACATTCTCAGGAGAGGGAGAGGGTTTTTTAAAAAGGAAGCTGATGGTGATTACACAAGTTGTCTTGAAAGAATTACCACTGGTAGAGATGGCTGGTTTAGGACATGAGTCCACAGTTCATTGATTGTCATTCAGGGGTTGCAGTGCTGGTGAATGAAATCCAGCTGTTTTCCAGGATGTTGTGGTCGTTGCAGTTCAAAGGTTCAAGGCAAGTTCCTGTTGTTGTTTTTGTTTTCATGTTGCAGGTCACACAGGCGGTCCTTCATAGATTGGCTTCCTGATTCCACTTTAGAGCCCTGAACCAGAGCGATGCCATTCTGTACATCATGTTTCGCATTTCCATCTCTTGACATGAGGAAGCCCTGATGATCAGTCATCAGGTGGTCAGCCACAGATGTGTTACATTTCCCTTGGGGCTAGAAACGCTTGTTTCTAGAGAGTCCTGTTCTAGGGAGAGAGGTTGTCAAAAGCGAATGTGCATCCAAGGCTTCAGAGATGGACCAAATTTGAGCAACAAGGGAGGCATCTTAATAAGGAGGCCTGCATTAGTCTATGGCAATTAGCTGTATGTTGGGAGAGGCATACATTTGATGAACTGTGTCTAAATGTTGTGACACTGTGCTTTTAGCATCTTGGGTTGTCTGGCAGCAATGGGAAATACAGATGGTACAAGTCTTTCTGCCAGCTTGTCAGGGCATGAGTTTCCCTGACTGTAGCTTCCAGAAGAGCAGAACAGCTTTGGTATCCTGCTCAAAGTGCCAAAAACGTAGGGGCAGAGGGAAAACTTTCTCTTTGCCCTTTGAAGGTTTGCTGAAAACCAACTAACTGACAAAAGGCAGATTAATAAAAGAGGCATACAAATTGTATTAATGTGCGTGGGACAGGGGAGGAAATGACAGAGTGATTCCCCCAAAACCCCCAATAGGGCGCAGAAGCTTATATACCATTTTTCATGGGGTAGGGAGGATATGGGGAACGTAGAGAATTCTTCTTTTTTAAAATTTTACTTATTTTGTTTTTTAAATAATAGTCATTCATTTAGCCAAAGTGATAACTAAAAGATTTCAAAAAGCAAAAGAACCTTCTACTCTTTGATAGAGAGGGAACTCAGGGTTTTCACTCAGAAAACCTAATCAAGATGGCATGAGGCAAACTCTCCCTTTTTTGTTTTTTGTAGTTTACTCAAAAAGTAAACAAAAATCTTTTACTATTTCTTATTAACACTACACAAAGATCTTGTTTAAAAGAGAAAACCAAATTCTATAATACCTTTGCATCAATGTATTATTAATGCTAAATCTAATTTTAATAAAATCTTATGAACAAATCCATCCAATCTCAATCAGCTTTGCCCATGTTAAGATCTCCATTACCCTTTTATAACATCTTACAGTTTTCCCATTCTTTCTCCAACTTTCTTTTTTTTTTTTTTTTTAAGACAGAGT